GTTGATTAGCTAAAAGTTATGATAGTAACATAAATTAGATAGGAGACACGAAAACAAGAGCATCGGGTCCACATACCTTCATCCAGGCTGGTCTGTAAGTGGTTGATTATGGCTGTGAGGATTGTTTCTACATTCATAATGTGTGAACACTGAGCCAGACCTAAAGCAAACAACTCATTCCAGCAGGCCTTCATCAGCGTGATGCTGTTCTCTGAGCTAAACACCAAAAATACAGAAAAGAAAATGAGGACAGAGCCACAAATTCACAAATAAAATCATTACACAGTGCACTGTAAAGCGTAAGGAACAGATAAGGAGAGAAAGTATGCCTGTAGTTCTGTTTCACTGCCTAAAGAGCAATATTTTAGGGTATTATATGAGCACTCCTGCACAAAGGCTGTATTAAAGGATGCTGCCTCCTAAGATAATTTTTTGACCAACTTCTAATGCAGCATTGCATTTATTCTTTATGTTGAAGACAATGCCTGAATGCAATGCAGTGAATTCTATAACTAAGATGGTGGAGAATGGAGGAAGTGCTGATTATAAACATAATTAATTTAGTACTTAAAGTATATTATATTAAAAAAAAATTATTTTTAATATTTTTAGCCCATTTACGTCTGTATTTAGTGCTATCCACTTGTGATCACCTGAAACCAGGTGTAAACGGGGCCACTCATTCACTCACCCAAGGGCCTGGAAAGCTGGAATAGAGCGTGCCCAGTGCATGGAGAGGAAAAGCAGACGGGACGCTGATTCACAGATGTAATTCAGACTCAGGAAGTCTGGCAGGGGCAGCGGCATCATCAGCTACACAAAATATTGAATACAGATTGTTATTGGTCCATCATTTTTGGTGCTGTCACTGCAGTGTGTGCAAGTCAACAGTGACGGCCGACCTTAAAGGGCACATGCATATCTGAGAGCAGCGGTCCTTCCAGTTCCAGTAGGGCAGTGGTCTGTTCATCAATCCTGACAGCCCCCTCAGCCATCTCTTCCCCACAAACCTCCCCAGGCTGAAGCACCTTTGTGAGCGTGTCAAAGGCCCTGGACACAAAAAAAAACAAAACAGAACATTTAAGCACAGCCACGTACCGCACATCTTCTAGGCTTGATCTACAGAAGTTGCTTTCCACACCGTGTGACGTCATTCGACTCATCCCTTTGAATGTCCATCATAACGCTGTCATCGTTACTCATGGTCTCTATCCCCGATAGGTCGGTACTGCTGTCCATCATCTCACGACTTTTGCTGAGGTGACCGAGAGACGTGACCACGTTGGCCAAGGTACCCAGATCTCCTTGACTAGAATCATTCTAAAGTGAACGTCAGAAAACATCACTATACATTCATGAACATGTTACACGTGTCCAGGTTAAATCTGACTTAAAAAAAAAATAAATGTACAGAAAATACAAATACGTAAAAACAAACACTACCATTATATAAAAATACTTTAACATTTAAATAATATTTATAATTTTGCGTTATACACATATATATATATTTTTGTTTTGTTTTTTGGTACAAATATGTTTAATTATATGTGAACCTGTCTGTGAAATGCAAGCTAAAGTTTCCAAATCTAATTATGAGATAACAAGCATCAACGTTTGATTTGAATCATTAATTTCACTATGACTTCAATCTTTGACATGGCCTTACTCAG